ATTCTTTGAGTCATCTAACACATAGTTTTCTAGTTGCTCCACATAGATTATTTCATCAAAGTTACCATTGAGGAAAGCCTTCTTGACATCCATTTGATGGAGTCATAAATCATAACGTGCAATAAGAGCCATGATATTCCTAAAAGAGTCTTTCGATGAAACCAGAGAGAAAGTCTCTTTAAAGTCAATCCCTTCCTTTTAAGTATACCCTTAGCCACAAGACGAGCTTTGTACCTCTCCACATTACCATTAGAATCTTGTTTGGTCTTAAAAATCCATTTTCAACCAATGGGTTTCACTTCTTCTAGTAACGGAACAAGTTCCCATATTTTATTGTCTGTCATAGACTTATACTCCTCCTTCATTTCTTCAATCCACTTTTTCGAGTTGGAATCTTGCATGGCTTGACGGAAGTTAATTGGATCATATTCCATCATACCATTATATTCCTAATGTTCTTGGAGAAAGACTATGTAATCCTACACAATAGCATTTCTCCTTTCTCTAGTAGATCTCCGCAAAAGTATTGGTTCTTGTAACACTTGTTCTTGAGGATCTTGAGTTTTTTCTTCATGAATTACCAAATCATCTTGAGTTGGAGGAATTTCAACAATGTCTTGTGGAGGTTCCATTCTTGCTTGATCAAAAGCAACTATATGAATTGGTTCTGATTCTTCCTCTAAGATAAAGTCTCAAACCTTATTTTTCCCCAAAACTTAATATCCTCAATAAATGTGGTTGTTCCCATCTAAAAAATTGAAGTTAATTTGGAATCGTAAAATTTGTAGCGTTTAGATCTTTTAGAATAGCCAATAACGTAGCTGCTCACTGTTCGGGAGTCCAACTTCTTTTCATTTGGTTTGTAAGGTCTTGCCTCAACTGGACATCCCCACACATGAGAATGCTTTAGATTAGGCTTTCGCCTAGTCCAAAGCTCATAAGGTGTTTTAGGAGCTGCCTTTGTTGGTACTCTATTCATGATGTAAGATGTAGTCTTTATTATATCTCCCCAGAGTGACTTTGGCAAGGTAGAATGACAAATCATACTCCTTACCATATTCTTAAGAGTTTAATTTTGTCTTTCAGCAACATCATTCATACTAGGCGATCCTGGCATGGTGTACTCATAAGGTTTCTAACTTATTCTTAAGAGTTTAATTTGTCATATCTTCCGTAATATTCACCGCTACGGTCAGACTTGACTTTGTTAATTCTTTTACTGAGTTGATTCTCAACTTCATCCTTAAACGATTTGAACAAATCCAATGATTGATATTTTTCATGTATAAGAAATATGTACGCATATATAGAGAAATCGTATATGAATGATATAAAATATTGTTGACCATCCCAAGAAGGTGTTGGAAATGGTCCACAAATGTCTGTATGTATTAATTCTAAGACATTTATAGCTCTATATGCAACATATTTCTTTGTTTTGGTTTGTTTACCTTTAACACACTCAACACAAACACCAAAGTTTATGAAGTCAATGGAATCCAAAATTCCATCGGACAGTAGTCGTTCAACTCTATTTTTAGAGACATGGCCTAGGTGCTTATGCCATAGTGCTTCTGGATTGTTATCATCAATTTTGTACTTAGCAGAACGTGATTCCACAATCAAGGATTCGCCATAGGTAGCTATTATGTCAAGAAAATAAAGATTATCTTGACTCATAAGTGAACTAGTTCCAAGAATATTAGAATTAAAAGATAACTTAAACATATTATTTCTAAATGAACATAAATAACTTGGTTTGTCCAAATAAGAAACTGAAATTAAATTTTGCTAAATGACAGAACCACAAAAGTGTCGTTCAAATCCAAATAAAATCCGGTACACATGAATAATCTAAAATATCCAACAACTTCCACGTCCACCAACTTGCCATCTCCCACATAGATGTATCTTTCAATATCATTTGACTTTCGGTAGTTCAAACAACCCTTCATTGAAACACTGATGTTAGTAGTTGCACCAGAATCTAACCACAAAGTGTTTCCAGTTACTGAAGTTAAATTAACCCCAGAACATACCAAATCATGACTCATGCGATATGAGCGATTTCACTTCTTATAGTTTTTCCTCTATTTAGAGGTATTATATTTTGTAGGAGAAGATGGTTCCTTCATCCCTAATGCAAGATCAAGATCCATGCAGATAAGAACAATTTCCATGTTCTCATTCCAATCCTTAAAAAATTTATCCCATTAAGGACATGAACATTATTCATATTAGTAGATATTAAAGCAATTGTAACTAAAAAATATAATATAATAAACACTATAAAAATACTCACATAAAAAAGTTGAATTATCAATTTGTTCAAATAAAGACATAACCCATCTCAAGATACCTAGTGCACCATCAATATTGAGTCTTTGGACAATAATATTAATCGCTAGTAGTACTCTTGTTGTAACGGTCAAATATTGATAATAATAAAAATGTCAAATAATAAAGCCTTCTTTGGACTGATTTACTATTCACATGTGAAAGCTTATAATTATCAAACGTTTACCATCACAGGCGCGTATGAAAATTGACAAACCTCCAATTGTTCTTTTTGGTCAATTGATACTTGCATGAACAAGCATACACACAAACCATAATTTTTTTTAAAAACATTTTTCATAAGCAATTTCTATAAAAAAAATGTCACTTTGGTGATTTTTTTCATTTCAACTATTTACTTAAAAAGATTAAATTATCGTGGCCAAATTTAAATAAAATTGAATCAAAGAAAAATTAAAATTAAATCAAAATTTAAAACACAAATACATGCCCGACATTGTTACTAAGTTTAATTCCAAAGTAATAATAAATAATATAATAATTATATATTATATAACACTAATATTTAACAGCCTGATATAAAACAAGAGAAATGTTATTTTTACACCAACTTATACACTACACCGTATTTTACTGTTCATCAATACGACGAACAGTAAAATATTATAATAATAAAATATATTTAAAAATAATATATATACATTTTTTTTTATATCTGGACATCTATTAACCAATTTTATAATTTTATTAACCAACTTTTTACATTGTATTAACCAATTTTACATTACTTCTTAAAATTATTTTTATATTTGAACATTTATTAATCAACTTCAAAGTTTCATTAACCAACATTTTACATTGTATTAACCAACTTTAAAAGTTACTGTTCATATACTGTTTGCAAACAATATTTATGGACATTGTTCACGTACGGTTTTACTGTTCACGATACTGTTTACTGTATTTGTGAACCGTGCATGCGGTGTAGTGTAACAAAGGGTGTAAAGCTAACATTGCTGATAAAACAAACCATACAACGTCGTTTGGATAGATTCAAAGAAGAAATTCTCAACTAAGGTTGAAGAAAACGACAATATTAAAGCTCGATTAGTATCAAACTCTTATAATCCTTTCTTCACTTAAAAGCAATTTTAAAATTAGAAATTAGAAACGACAAAAATTGTAACATTTTATTATGCTTCTGCTAGTACAATCTGACTGGTGAAAATTAAATTGTATTTGGCTTAAACCATTTCACATAAAGTAAAGGAAAACACAAGAAAGAGCTATCACATGCTTCACAAGCGTAGAACATATTGCATTATTTTATAATTAAGATGTTTTTTCTTAAAATATTCCTTTATGAAAAGGAAAAAAAAACGTCTTTTAACTCAACATTTAACACGTATCACATTATATATCAATACAAAAATTAATTGAAATTTGTGACGTAGCTTAGTATGATTTACAGCATAAAAATATAATCCTTTCCAAATTAAAAAATATAAATAAATCTCATTTTTATAAATTTAAAAAAATTTATTCTTAAAATTCAAATTAAATCAGATATGAGTAACTATGATACAATCGGTTAGATTTGTTCATGATTTTATTATTTCTATCAATATAGAAATTAAGAACAAAATTCTAAAATAATTCTTATGAGTAGATAACTCATGAACTTATATCCTTTAAATCCATATAAGATTACCAGACATGTGATCTTACAATTGTAGAGTTCTTTATGCCTCCTTGAATCTTCTCTGATGGAGATTAAGAGAGAATTTTTGTAATGAGTCGTATTTTCAATCGTTTTACAAATGGGGACTATAACTTCTATAAATAAACAATGAATTAAGTGGCACAAGGGGTGCACGAATCCAAAATTACAGCACAAAACAGTGACAACCACTTGATATATTCAATAGGCGTAGTGTACCAATCATAAAATAAACAACTAAGGTAAACTTTTTCTACAAATAACCATATTTAAGTAAAAAGTTTGATAGAGTTAATAGTTTCATCAACCGACTTGAACTTGTCCTTAAAGGATAAGTTGTTCCTATTATCCCATAAAAACCACACAGTTGCCTCCCAGACGATATTCCCTAATGAGTTACCTGTAGCTACTTTTTGATGAACAATTAAAAAGAGCAAAAGAATCTAGAGAACTTCCTCCTTTAAACACATACACACCATACCACTTTTCAATCCCCCTCCACACTTTTTCTGCATAATCACATTCCATGAAAACATGATTGATATTCTCATCAAATCTCCCACAAGCCAGACAAATCAGAGACCTCCTACAAACCTTATACTCCTTCTAGCCAGCTGGTTCTTGGTCGTTATGCACTCTTTAAATAACCTCCGAACAAAAACCAGAACTTTAGAGGGGATTTTTTCCTCCCAAATCTTCTTGTACCCTTCTAGAACATCATTTGTAATATCACTCACCACCCGGTCATGAAACAAACTATCATAGCAGGACAAAACAGTAAAAGAAGAAGAAAAGGAAGAACTCTTATGAGGTTCCCAAATGAAGCAATCTTCCTCTTCAACCATTGGCTTCACATTCTACAAAATATCCAACATATCCTCCTTTTCCCTTTCCATAATCGAACAAGGAGGATATACAGGGAAACATAACTTCCATTCCCAATTCGCCTCTCTCCACATACCCATATTAGTAGGACAAAACACTAAGGAATCCACTTACAATGCCAGAACGCTGCCTTCTTCCCGTTACCCAACGAACACTTCAAACTATCAACGAACAAATCTGATCTGCCTCTGCTAGAAATTTCTCCTTTAAAACCATCATAACCTATAATAGCCAGGCCTAATACATTCTTCGCGTATCTGTTATTGATAATACCCTTCCAAACCATCCCTTTGGAGTTCAAGAATCTCCATTTCCACTTAAGAAGAAGAGACCCATTGAAATACGAAATATCCTTGATGCCCAAACCTCCTTTCACTTTCGGTGCGCAAACTGATTTCCAATCTACCCAATGAATTTTCTTTCTGCTAGAGCAGCTACCCCACAGGAAGTGACTTTGGATACTCTGGAGGATCTTAATAAAACTTGTTTAACCATTATAGAAAGACAGAAAATACAAAGGCATCGCGTTAAGAACAACGTTGATTAACACTACCCTACCTCCAATAGACAGATTATTTCCTTTCCAGTCTGCTAGTCTACGTCTCATAATTTCAATAACATCCTTCCACATATGAATATTCCTTGGGTTATCTCATATAACCACCTAAAGGAATGTGCAAGGGAGCTTCAGAACATCATAGTGGAGCAACTCTGAGGCAGCCTCCAAGAAATCTGCACTAAGATTCACACCACCAATTCTACTCTTAAAGAAATTGACTTTAAGCCCCGTCAACAATTCGAATCCATGAAGCACCACTTTAATGCACCATAAGCTATCCCAATTAGCCTCCCCTATCAAAAGAGTGTCGTCGGAAATTTGAACCAAGTTGTATGAAGTTTCTGAACTAACCTTGAACCCCTTGTAAAAACCAATTGACGTAACTTTATTCAACATTTGGGTTAGAACTTCCATAACAAGAGTGAAGAGAAACAGAGACAAAGGATCACCTTGGCGGAGCCATTTTCTGACAAAGAAATCTTTTATAGCACTACCGTTGACCAGAACAGACATTGATCCTTTGAAGACCAACAAATCAATCCACTTAATGCACCTTTCCCCAAAATTTATCTTCTCGATCAATGACCATAGAAACACCCAAGACACACAATCAGACGCCCTTTCAAAATCAATTTTCATCATCATACAATCCCACTTTCTTCTCTTATCCATATCAATTACTTCGTTTGCAACCAACACTCCATCAAGGATACATCTACCAGGAACAACGCGGTTTGTTCGACTGAAACTATGTTACCCACAACCATCTTCAGCCGACTAGCCAAGATTTTAGAGAGAATTTTCTGATAGCAATTCACCAAACAAATTGGTCTGTAGATGTTGAGGATTTTTAATTTTAGCCACCAAAGTGATGAAAGAAGCAGAATCAGTCTCAGTGAGGATAGGATTGCAAAAGAAGTATTTAACAAACCTAACAAAATTAACCTTAATAGTATTCTAACACTCTTGAAAGAAACCAAAAGTAAAACCGTCTGGACCTGGACGTTTTCATCCATTACACTCCCATATCACTTATTTAATCTCTAACACAAAAAAATCTTCCTCCAAAGTACACTTATCAGTATCAGTCAACCTCTTCAATTCTAAGCCTTCAAAAGTGGGACGAACATTAGAGCATTCACTTAAATTCTCTTCGAAAAATTTACTCACCTCATATTTGATATCTATCACATTCTCTTTACTCCAGATACAAGTATTAACAAACCATATATAATTACTTATGTGTCTGCTCTTCATAACTCTGTGGAAGAATCTGAATTTATGTCCCATTCCTTAAGCCATATTGCTCTCGCCTTAAGCCTTAACATACCATCCTTATGATTCAATTTGTTCCATACATTATTCAAAGCAATCTCTCTCTCTTCTCCACCATTTCATCAAAGCTTGAAAAACCAAGCCTACTAACCTCTACATCAAGATAATTGAGATCACTGATTGCTTCTTCCACTTTCAAGTCGACCCAACCAAACACCTTATCATTCCATTTCTTCAGACTAGCTTTGAGTTTCCCCAATTTCACTTTTAGAACATAATCCTCTCTCCCCCTAACTTCATACGATTTCTACTTTGAATCAACAAATTTCAGAAAATCGGGATGTTTTAACCAGCAGTTGTTAAATCTAAAGGGTTTTGGGCCCCAATCATGAGAAACGCTTTTAACCATATCGGGCAATGGTCAGAAATGTCCCTCCTACCAATGTGATGCCCCATGATCTTCCAATATTCTACCAAATTTCCCAACAATAAGAACTTATCAATTCTGCTCATGAAATTCCCAGATTTGTTAAACCAAGTATACTGACCACCCACACACGACATGTCCACATAATTGTTGGATCAATAAAGCAATAAGCAAAAATATTAAGTATCCAGTTTCGTCGTCTCCACGGGGATCAGTGCGATGAAAGAACGCCGTTCAAAGGTCTCTACATTTCTAAACATTTTGCTCAAAAGGTTTGGTTTAAAAGGTTCAAGGAACCATGAATAAAAGGCAGAAACTATACAGACGAAAATTATAAAGTAAAGACTGAAAACAAAGACTTATTGGGATTAGATCTCATCAATTGATAACATATGCATTCTTCTGATCATGTTAAACACAACTCATTCATTCATCTAATATCCTCACCTATCACCCACGACAGAGGTCATATCTAACGAAACATCGAGAGAACAAATATGTTGTCTCATTGGTGATGGCTCACGCAACAAAAACACAACACAAAGCATTAAGAACTGATACTCACGCAAATGCTAAGCCTAAATCTATATCTAGATTTTAGGACCTAACAGGTAATCATCCTAGATCCAGATCTGAAGAGTACATTTCTATAATAATTCAAATCAAAGATAAACAGGCAAGCAAAGATGACACCTATATAGGATAAATGATTGTTTTGAATAAAACACAATGACCATAATATGTACATACGCTTAACCCTTTTTACATGTATTTATCTAATCATCCAAATGTATGTGAACATCATTCTTCATCAATATAATCACGCACCTGCTCAATATCGTATTGATCATACTCATGCTACCCATGCTACTTAATCAACACAATACAATTGAAGATACAATGAATATCAACTTACAAAATCATGTAAAAAGTTTGTTCATTGATAGATGGAAATCTTAGACCAAAGATGTGAAGAGGTTTGATCAAAACCCACAAAAGAAATCAAAGACAATAAATCAATAGATAATCAAACTAGTTCACAAACATATATTAGATGAAATACATAAGGTATCAAAAGATTACATCCAAACCCCAACAAGATATCAAATATCTTACCTCCTCCCTCTTAGGGTTTTGTATTTCTCTCTCTAAAATAAACTTGAAATGAAGAGAGATAAGTTTTGATGTAAAAAAATATTACCCCTAACCTAAAAAGCAAGAAAAATACTTATATAGTACACTTAAGATCTGTCTTGTTCGCACTGCAAACAAATCCTTTGCCTAGCAAACATCTAATTAGGCACCTGAGGTGCCTCCGAACAGTTAAACTGCCTTTGAGACTTTTCCACATATTTGTTGTGCGAGCAACTCTTCATAACGTGAAGACTTCGCTGCAAACTTCGCACATCGAATTCTCCTCCAAATAGGTACTGCCTCAAGTCTGGGGCTACTCGCTAGGACTTCACTCCTCCTTCACTCCAGCGAACCATTCGCTAGCTCTTTTGAACAGCGAGTTTCAGTCTCTTTTTCTCTCTGGATGAACAGTACCATGCTCTCCTAGGCCTTCGCTGTGCGAACTTGTTGATGTTTTTCTAGGTAGATTCGCTAGAAAGTTTGCTATACGAACTTGTTGATGTTTATCTACTGTCTTGGTTTCTTTGTCAAATTCCTTGTGTCTTACTCTTCTTCTTTTATGCCTAATTTCTGCACAATAGCACACAAATCAAAGCAACCAAGACATTTTCACACAATGAAGTATATCATCAAAAACAAGAGTGATTCTAATCACTTTCACCTACAAAAAGAATGAAAGATGCTAACATTTGATAGATCAAATAAGAAAAGTTTGACAACTAACAACTCTCCCCAACTAGATTTTTGTTTGTCCTCAAGCAAAGTATGCCTCTCATTTCAAACAAGAGGATTTGCTTAAGATTAAGATTCACCCAAGAATGGATAAAATGGCTCAAACACAAAGAATGCAAACAAGCAATGGTTTCTAATGTTTAGAATCAAGAAATGCACAAGAACTAAATTCTTACAGAAAATATTAAGCCATGCATCAATCAACAACAATATTTTCATGAATGAATCGCTCTATCTCTCCTCTTCGAATAAGGATTGAAGAAATTATACGTTTGCAACCGCAGGGAAAATTCCACTCACCTAACAAACAATGCCAATATCAATTCAATTCATACAACATCTAACAATAAAAAGTGAAAATATGGAAGCAAGAAGATCACTAAGGTCTTTAAGGTTGTAGCTTGTTCGGGTTCACAAATAAGGAACATTTCTAAGGCCATTGAAACGAAATTGCCGATGCAAAAGAGACATTCACTGTACACATAATTTACACATCCCAACTTCATTCCATTTGTTCTCAATCGCAAACCCTCCCAACTCTTATTTCACAACTTATTATTTTACTATTTTTCTTTTCCAAGCAAGCAAGCATTCTTTTTTTTCATATTCACACAATTTTTTTTTCAATGCTTGCTTGAATTTTTCAAAAGTTGTAGCAACCTACCATTCTTCTTTTTCATTCTCCCCAACTTGATTTTTACTCAATCCTCAAGTGAATGCTCTTGGATTTTTATGAAAAAGAGGACAATTAAAAAAATTCAAGGGTTCAAGAAAAAATTTAGAATCTCACAAAATTCAGAATGAGATTCACATTGTTTAAACTCAAAGGGGATTACCGAATTCTCTCTACTCACGGGTAAGTTACATTTAGATATGGTTGTGCTCAATATAAACAAATGCCTTGATCATTTCTAATGCTTCTGCAAATTCACAATAATAACAAGATAAAGCATGAATCAAACGAATCAATAAAGTTTATCAGAAATCCAGCATTTAGTAAACAATGGAAGCTTTCTCACAAATTGTGGTTTTTGGTCCTAAGTGAAACAATCATTCAAACAAGTTGATAAAAGAAAAAATTTCATTTGCACAAAGACTTAAGTTCTTAAGCATTTTAAAATTCTAAACAAAGTTAACCATTTATCTTGACAACATTCACTTGTTTCATATTATCATTGTCATCCAAACTCGGTCGAAACTTCATTGAATGCTTTTATACAGATAGCAACCACTCTAGAAGGAGTTATCATCATTCCTGGTTACACAAGAGAAAACATAAAAGGAAACCAATATATACAATATAAAAAAATATACAGAGCATAAAAATATAAAACAGTTGCAATTCACTTAAATATCTCAACATCAATCCCCGACAACGGCGCCATTTTGTTGGATCGGTAAAGCAACAAGCAAAAATATTAAGTACCTAGTTTTTTCGTCTCCACAGGGATTAGTGCGATAAAAGAACGCCATTCAACGGTTTCTACATTTCTAAACTTTTTGT